ATTTATTGAGCGAAAATGGCATACAAAACAAAGCATTACAATACGTCAAATGCACAAGCTTAGAAGTGAAAATGAACATGCATTTCAATCACAAAGTGTCAAAGCACGGCTACATTAATGCAAAATACTGTTACAAGTTAACAGAGTAAGAAAACATTTGCAAGCAGCTACATGTTAAAACAGAAACACACAGCACGTTACTGTTTCGTCGAGGCAGCGACCAGAATGAAGACTGCAACTTTGTTGCAATTCCTGCAAAACAACAAAATCAGAATTAACTTTCGGTTACAAACAGGATCTCGAAATTATCTCAGGCAGATAGATGTTCTGAAACGATTCTTGCGTTCAAAAGATGAAAGTTTTAAAAGATTTACAGATGCAATAAAGCGATTAGCCTGGTGTAACAGTTACATTTAAAGTGTGAATACTGAAACAACACAGCTAGAGTGTGTCGTTTAGGAACTACCACTACGAATGTGCTCTTTAACGTTTTCCATTTTGATTAGCATATTCGTTTTCTGCAACAAAATAATTTAACACACAAAGTTAATCCATATCTTTATAGGCTCCGTTGTTTTAATTGTTGTGATGCAATTTGGACGCCAAAACGGTTCTGAATAATTATTATACGCAGCAACAAACCCGAAATTGATCGTAGTTTAGCAGAAAACGAGTTCTATAAATAGCAGGCCTACAATTTTGTAGGGTCAAAACCATTTCTGCCCGGGAGAAATCTAGTATCGCCTAGTTTGAGTCTTTTTTTGACAAGGTGTATCACATTTCCAACAACAATTTTCAGGAGATACATTATCTAATGTAGTTCAAAATGATACGTGTAAACGAATAAAAAGGTTTATACTTACATCGATAATTCCACCAGCTGAGCCAAGCATGTCCTACCCGCAGACACCGAACTGGAAACACAAGAACACAAGTGTTTAGACGATTATTTAAAGTTACATTAAACCAAGGTTTCTTAGTAGTAAACAGCGTTTTCACCAGGCTAGATAGCGCAGAAAACATTTCAAAGAAATACGTGTAAAGGAATGAGTAAAACGTTTATACTTACTTGGATAATTGCAGCAGCTGAGCCAAGCATGTCCTGCCCGAAGACACACAAATACAGAATTTAGAATTTAAAGACCATTAAAACTAACAAGTATTCGTTGCAAGATAGATTTTTATCACTTTTCCTGCGAGGTTTAGACTACATAATTACAAGAGTTAAATTTTATCTATATTCAAATAGAGGAAAAACAGAAAATAATCATAAAAGACGCGGAACAAACTCACTCAGCTCCGCTCTCTCCAGCAGAAACCGGCGCACAGGTGCGCGGGGCGTGGCCTGCGAGAGATGTCATTCGAGTGGGCGTGGCCACAGTCTGACGGTACAGGTTGCTTTTTTCTTGGCTCCACCTGGAAACTTGTTAAAGAAATCGAGCATGTTTACAGTAGCCCCCATGAATTACAAGTTTCAAAATCTTTCCCATAGCCCACTGAGTAATCACAGTGCATTTAATCCTTATTAGTATCTGAAAGCCGCATGATGTGAATGAAATAATGTAGCAATATGTAGGCGAGCTGTGGGGTCTAAAGTTCTTTGAAGGACACTTACTGTTCTATAACCTGATCTATCTAAACTCTGCACCAAGAAGTCCGATTTTTCATGTGTAAACGTTTATCGTGCTCTCAATTTACCACCTTTCTACTTCTAATTAGTCATGCAGCTGAAGTGTTGATGCAATACATTACAAGAACATGAGAAATTTCAAATGAGAGGACAGTATTTGATCCATGTAGCCCTTTTGGTTAGTGAAATCAGTTTGATTGGATAGTCTCAAAGAACCATTGTTCAAAACTAAAGAGGCTGTTGGTTTCAACAAAATGGCTGGATTGCCTGTGCCACTCTCCCACAACTCTTTGTGTAAAGAAGTTTTAAATACACTTTCCCATGACATCCTTTCATGCTTATCTTGGGTCATGTCAAAGTTGTCCACACTGTATAACTGCAACTTATTTTTTTTTTAACTGGTTAACTGCAGCAACTAATTAAAACATTAGCATAACACTAGTGCACTGTACTGAAGTACATGTTATATTCAAATAAACTCAAATCTCAGATTTCATGCTTCACTTGTTAAACCAGGCGGACCCACCAGGGCTTTTGCAGAGGCAGAACCTACCTGGCAGGAGATGAACAATTTCCTAAAAAGCTCTGGAGCAGGATCAGCGTAAATGGTGTCCAGTAGAAGACTCCCAAGTACTGTGAGAGGCTCAGGCGCAGACTCTGGGAGCTGGTGAAAGCAGCAGGGAGGAGGAACTCAGTCAAGGAAAGCTGGCTGATTGCAAAGAGGTGTGTGAGGCCATGAGGGTAGTGGCTGCCACTATGGACA